CCGGTCCCGAGGGCTCAATGGTCTGTAGTGAAATGCTTCTGCACCAGGCAGGGCCCCACCAGAAGCCCTTTGCTTCACTGCGCCGGGGCTGAGCTCCTGGGCTGTGCAGCCCTGTTGCTGCCGGACACGCGTGGAGCACCGTGAGATCTCTCCTCTCCATGTTTGCCAGCCCAAGCACAGCGCTCCCTGTGCATGTGGAAATGTCTTGTTTAGAAGGTAGGGAACTGTGTATGTGGACACCACAGAAACATCTCCAGACCTTCCTTTCCGCATGCAGTGCCGCGGCAGGGTGCCGGCAGCCAGCCTCTCACGCACCTATCTCGCTGCTCTGCTAGCCCTTCTCTCCGCAGGAGTAAACTTGGGAATTGCCGCTTACCCACAGCTTTCAGGAACTCAGAATTTCAGTTTTTCATGGATCCCCACTGTGGACTCCAGGTCTGAAGACAGCACAGTTCCTAATGAGTTCCCAAACGCACACACGTTCCGTTACATGAACTCCTGAAGACCTACACTGCGTAAAACTGTGGTGGACTAAAAAGCAGCAAATCCAGACCACAGCCTGGCGGAAACACTACGAGGGTGAAAAGCTTTACAAGCATTTACCACCATCCCATCGCAGAACCGACCAATCACCCAAGGGTGATCTGTTCAAGGCCGATCTATTGACCTGTGCAGTTTTGAATGGTCCTCCCTGTTGCTTCACACAAAGCATTTTGAAGCTGGTGGACTCTGAGAAGGTCTACGTTTGATTCAGAACCTTGTGGTGAAGTCTCCTGCTGGAGAACGGTGGCCGAGGAGGCTGTCGCTCCGCTTTCCGCGGTACTGCGGGCTGCTCCGTGTCCACGCCGCGGTTTTAGGTCTACACTTGGTGAATTCAAGGAATCACTCACGGATTCCCTGCGATGCGAAGCGAGGAAACGAGTCTCAGCTGTAGGCTGCGAAGCTCGCACGTTTCAGTCGATCCATGCGATTCTGAGCTCCCGTGGGATGTTTCCTATCCAAAGGATTAGCTGGAAGACAACCCTGTCAGTCTTTGAAAGGCTTCAGAGCAAGGCTGTGTCTAGGTCCACATTCTTCCACCACAAGCCCACGCAGATGCGTTAGTAAGAACAGCGCAAGAACGTGCGTTCTTCCTTCCCCAAGGTCTTCCAGCCTGCTTCTGCTTCCAGCTCAAGGGATTTGAGGAGCCAGAAGGGTCCCACGTGTTCGGTAAAGGGTGCTGGGCTCCATGCACCTACCCAGGCTCTCCCTGATGCCACGGAAACTTTTAGTCGCTGCGATATCCCCGTGACACGGCGATTCACAGCTGGCAGAGAGAAACAGCTCGTTGGGGCTGTATTTCTTCTGGATGTCTAATTAGGCTTAAAAACCACGTCCAGCAGTGCTTCTCTCTTCCCCTAGACAGGAAGGAGGAGACAGGTAGGTCACGGAGACACCCACTTTTGATCAGATGATCTTCACTACCGTGGAAAACCACCTTGTGTTCTCACCCGGAGAATCAGCCACTCAGCTGGCCAAGAGCCATCTAGTGACCTTCCTCCACACAGGGGCTGCTGACGTGGGAGACAGGCAGCGTAACTCTCATTTGACCAGGATTTGCATTTTATCAGGAAGCCTGACTGGCTCAAGCTGACTCACAGATCTTTATCTCGTTAGTTATCAGCGCACAGCTGGATTTCCGTGGTTTCTGCCAGCCCGCCTGGCTTTCCCCGCTTGCTGCTGGCCAGCTTTCACCTCCCAACTGTCATTTCACCCGTCCTTGGAGGTGGGTCACCTCTTCACCAAAGCCACCTCGACAATCAACCCTCTCCAATAATCATTTCACCTGTCCTTCGAGGTGGGTCGTCACCTCACCAAAGCCACCTCGACAATCAACCCTCCCCAATAATCATTTCACCCGTCCTTGGAGGTGGGTCGTCACCTCACCAAAGCCGTCCTTGGGTGTGGGTCACCTCCTCCCCAAAGCCACCTTGACAATCAACCCTCTCCAACGGTCATTTCACCCGTCCTTGGAGGTGGGTCACCTCCTCACAAAAGCCACCTCGACTATCAAGCCTCTCCACTCCTGGAGTCTCACCAGCAGCGGGGCTGGAGCCAGCATGGAGGGGATGTGATTTGGAGGGTGTCCCTGTGGTAGGGAAGCTTGGCTGGCAGGAGTGTCGCGTTCCTGCTGCTCGCTCCAATGCCACGTCGTTGGTGACGCCCTTCCCAGTCGCTCTGGCACCAGGCAAGATTTTAGGATCAAAAAGGTTTGGTTTTTTTTTTAAAAATCAATAAAGCTCTCAGATTTAAAGTAAAAAGAGAACAGAAACTTGAGAGGGAATGTAGGAAGCACCTGAAAAAGAGCAGGTGAACATGATACAGAAGCAAGACCAGAAGACACAGAAGCAAGACCAGAAGACACAGAAGCAAGACCAGTTTTCTTTAGAGTGTTTTAGGTGTTTAAGGATCCATGGAGATCCTCAAGAGCATCCATTTAACAAGGCTTACTTGTTTTGGGCTGGAATAAACACTGCTTCCTCCCTGGAGGCTGAGGATGGGGGGGCAGCGACCAGCGCTCTCGCTGCCTGTCCTCTGCCGCGCCACGTTGAATGCGTCGCCCGTCCTCGTCCCCCGGCTCCACTCCTCCCATCTGCCAGCAAAGCAGGGACACTTCTGATCCCCTCCCCAAAGCAGCAGCACGATGTGAAAGGCTCCAGCCTTCACCCGGTTTCCTCGGCTCAGAAACCCTCCGCGGCGCAGTCCCTCCTCTGCTGGGAAGACGCCATTTTGCCAAACTCGTATCCCATCAACATTTTTCTGAGCCTGGTTTAACGCGGCGAGTTTCGCACCAGGGCTAAACGTGTTACCTGAAATGGTGAAACCCAGACTGAGGAGAGGGTTGTTGGGAACCTTTCCTCCTCCCAGCCTTGTCTTTGTCCTCCAAGCATCCCTCAAGCACCATTTGGGTGTTCAGCTAGGCCACCTCCATGGTCCTCTTTAGATCACCTTCTGCGGAAGCCGGGCCACGGCTGGCCCTGGCGTTAGAAAGCAGCTGGGTGAGAACATGGTCCCATCCACAGACACAAGCAGTCTCCACCACCTCCTCCGTGCTGCCCTCGAGAGGGGAGCTGGGAGCTTAATTTTGGGCTCGTTGGCCCAAATGGTGGGTGGGTGACGGCCAGACCCAGCCACCAACCAGGGACCTGTGCTGTGCATTGCAGGGAGCAGAAGCTGGGCATCGCCCGGGCCGCCTCCGAGGTGAAGCGCAAGGGCACCTGCACCCTGCTCTGAGGGTCTCCTGCCGCGGCGGTCCCCGCGGCCGCGTGCAATGAAAGGCCTTGCCCTGCAACCTACAGCCTCCTGTGTGCTTCCCTCCATGTCCCCCCCATCGCCCCCATGCCATCTCCAACCCCACCCGGTGCCAGCAGCCTCCTGCCCCATCTCCACCGGCCCCACCGCAGCGCAGGGGCTGAAGGTGGGGTGCCCGAGGGTGATGCCAGCGGTCCCTTCCTCCTGCCCGTGCCCCGCCTTGGGGACTCTCCCCTTAGAAGGTCCACACCGACGCCCTCCTGCCCGGTCCTTCCGCTGGGAGGATCTCGGTGTCCTCCGCCCCGTGCCCTGCAATTCATCTCCCCTTATCTCGCTGAGGGCTGGCAATCTCCTCGGCGCTCAGAGACCTTCGAGCAAGCACGGGGTGCTGAGCACGGAGGAGAGGGACGGGTAAGGCACCAGCAGGGATGGGAGGCCTTCTCCTGCAGCGTTTTGGGGGTGTGCTGTCCCCCGGAGCCCCTCTCTGCTCTGTCCCCGTTGCTTTGGCTCCATCCTGGGGGGTTTCTGGGCTCCCTGCCTTCATCCCAGCTGCTCCTCCTCTCCCTTCGGCCCCAACTAACCCCACCCCGTGCTTCAAAAAACGGAGAAACCGAGTCAAACCCTACCCCGCTGCTTCTCAAGAACAAAATCCCGTTGGACACGTCCCACCTAGCGCGGTCGCCGGGGACGGGGGCCTCGCTGGGCTGCTCCAGCTCCCAGCTTGGAGGGCTGGCGGTGCTGGGCCAGCCCCGCTGGCTGCGGGGGAAGAAGGGAAGGCGGTGGCTTTGCCCGCCGGCCAGCTGCGTCACCCAGCCCACGCCCCGGGGTTTTACCTCACGGTCAGGTCCGGACACCCCGAGGCAAGCGGGATTTCCTTATCAGCAGCGCGGAGCTCGGAGCCTCCTCTCGGGATGAGCTCCCACGCCGGGCTGGTGAGCAGCCTGCGGGCAGCCTGGCTCTCCGGGAAGACGCGGCCCGTGGAATATCGCCTGGCCCAGCTGGAGGCCCTGGGACGCTTCTTGGACGAGAAGAAGGAGGACATCCTGGAGGCCACCGCCTTGGACATGGGCAAGGTGGGACCACCGTGGCCAGGGCAGCGCGTTCCTTTCCATCACTTGGTATTTTTTTGCCCCCCTTTCATTTATTTATAAAACTGTATCTCGACCCAAGTTTTCTTGCTTTTGCTCTTCGGAGTCTCTCCCCGTCCGACTGCAGGGCAGCGGCCAATGGCGGGGTGCGTCCT